CAAATGTCTGTAGGATATATTCTTCTTTTTTTTCTTTTCCTTCTGATCCATTAAATAAAAACAATTCAAGATTTGTTGTGAATTGTTTCCTCTGCGAATTTCAGGTACAAATATTGCTGGCTTCCTCTACTTGCCAAACATGCTGAATCTCAGGTTTCAGAAGGTCCTCTAGTCGTGCCTCTTGATTGTGAATGGATTTGGCATTGTCATAGGCTCAACCCCGTAGATTTCTCAGATTAAAATTCACACTTTCTTGGGTGTGTGTGCATCAATAGGCACATGATCTTCTGTCATAACACTAAATTCTCCTAGTTTGGTCACAACTATGCTGATCTGCATTTACTTTGTCGGTTTTCCAGGTGCGTTATGTGACTGATTGTGCAAGTCTCTACAGGAGAATCCTGGACAACAAGAATGTTGTATCTTCAACTCAGAGAACTTGCAAAACCAAAACAGAAGAAATTTGGAACAAACTTTATCCTCATGAGCCATATGAACTCAATACGAAAGCACCAAGTATACGACAGATTTATGCAGCTTCAGAAAGCACCAAGTCTGCTAGTTTGAGCTGTCAGAAGGCAAATCCCGCTCTGTTATCAGGTAATCATTTCAAATATCAATGTATCTGATTCATAATTAGTGGAATACATATCAAGCGGTATAACTGGCCATTAAATTTCTTATTCTGCTCCAAGGATTTATTTATGAAATGCATACTGCAAGATTCTGAAATATGCTCAGTATAATGTCTCATACTAGAAACTTCCTCTTTTCTCCTTCTGTTAACAATGTCTCGTATATTTGCCAAGTTAATTATCTAATGCATGTACAACAATCCTAACAGGTATCTAGATCTTATGTGAATGACAACCTCTTGCTCAAGGGAGCTGTTGCCGGATATAAAGGTTTTTTGCATATGATCAAAAGAAACAGAGATAGGTCTATTAAGCACTTGTGTTCCAACTTATGACATTGACCTCATCTGGCACTCTCACCAATTGCATCCTGCTTCTTACTATAAAGATCTTGTGGCAATAATGGGCAAGGTGTTAGAGCATGATGACAGATTCTGACAGAACCAAGGGTCAAAAGCTAGATGTTGGGTTTTCTGAGATAACCAAGCAATGGGAAGAAACCTTTGGCACAAGGTACTGGAGAGCGGGAGCAATGTACCGAGGCGGTGCTCCATCTCCTCTCACCATCAGTCTCAGCCAATGGCGGACTCAGGAATTTTTATAGGGGTAGGCTAAATTTTTTTTTTTTTTTGAGAGGAGATATATTATAAGCCTTTTTTCTATTGAAACAAAAATGTAAATAAAATTTTATAAATCAAACAAAGTCACATTACGAGCAAATATAACACAAAAAAGTACAAAATATAAATAAATATCAAATCAAACACATTGTCCAAAAAACTTAACAACAACAATTAAAATTGGAAATTGAATATATATAAATAAATAAAAGAAAAACTTACCGAGATTGAAGAACCCACTGAAGATAGGTTGGTATAATTTTTTAGAGGATGAGAACTATTTCCTCTAGGCTCTCAAGGTTCAAATATGGCATTTTGGGGGGCTAGAAGAATTTTTTTTATGTTTGCTCTCTATGGTTGTAGCCCAATATCAATATGATTAGAATAGGTCAAGTTGGTAGAACCTTAGCGTGAGTTCTGCTGCTAATCAATTTTATATATGTTTGGATTGATGTTTATTATTTCCTATATGCGTTAGGAGTGGGCTTATTCTAAATAAAGCTATTATTTACTTTACTTAAATTGGGCTATTATTAGTTTATTATATTTATTGGAGTATGAATAAACTTAACTATATTTAATATTTAAAAATCTTCCCCTAGGCTGGAGCCCACTCCAGCCTAGCTATACATCCGCCCTTGGTCTCAGCCAACTGCAATTACAAGCAGTGAGAAAGAAGGCAGTTGTATCTGATTGATACCAAGATATCATTCAGCTTCCTAACAGGATTTCAACGTCTTCATCTCCCACACTTTTTTATTTTTACTTGGATTGCAAGAAATAGACACTGGTTCTAGCCTTGGTGCTTCTACCAGTAAATGTTGGTGTATCAATGTTTTAACCCTTTTTTTTTCTTCCTGATTCATATTCAGGTTGGTGCTGATTGTGGCGGTCAAAGATTTACCAGTCGGGCTTAAAGGCAGCCTCTTTGTCTCCTTTAGTAAGAGCATCTCCACCCACAAGGGCTAAGTCTAGGGCAAGGGCAAGCAAGGGCTGCCACTATTCACGTGAATAGTGTCAGCCTTGCCATTTGTGGTTCCACCCATGAGGGCTAAGTCTAGGGCAAGTCTAAGGCAAGAAAGGAAAAAACTATTATGCAACAAAATATAAACAATTTAGAAAGTGAATAAAATTGTTATGTATTTATAGGGAAAGCATCTAGAATTTTTTGGTATTTAAAAAAAAAAATTTGAAATTCTTTTGGATTTTTTAAATAATTTTTTTGGATTTTTTAAATATTTTTTTGCTCGCTGACGTCAGCACTGACATCACAAAACTCGGGCTGAAGCCCAGGCGAAACCTGCCCTTGGGCTTGCCCGGGCTGGTGGGACCCATGCGAAACTAGGCTGCAGGCTGCAGCGCTGGAGGGCCAAACCTTGCCCTGGGGGCCTTTTGCCTGGTTTGGTGGGCTGCGCTGGAGATGCTCTAAGAAACAGCCAGACCTGTTCTTCAATACCAGGAGAAGGATAAACATTTCTTCTGAATCAGAGGAAATGGTTTCTGGTTTTCAATGCAAACCTACTGGACATATGCTATTTGAACTTATGTCCTATTCTCCTTCGATTTTGTCAATATCAAAGACTCCTATACTATTAAAAAGTTCAACCATCACTCTAGAGGACTTCCTCAGTCCAGTTTCTAAACTGCAAGTAGAGAAGTGGTTTGAGTTGATGGCAAATTCTGCAGTTGTTGGATCAAAGCCCATCAACCTACGCATTGCTCTCTCTTTGACTACTCTGATTCTATCGTCATATGTACTGCACATGGTTTGTACACGTCCATTATCAAAGTCTTGTTTCCTTTCACTCTCTGGAAGGTTTCAAAATGCTAAAAGCTGGACATGTTTTGTTGATGAGGCCAATAATGAGCTTATGTTATGAGCATCCAAATGAGGTAACTCAAGCATATAAATTTGATTTCCAAGTACTTTGCAGTTCCTTACAGGAATCAGTTATAAGTAGTTATGGAATTCAGATTCGAGGTTGTGTTTTCACCATGTCACTTTTAGCATGCAAATGTAGTTCAACAGTCGTGAAAAATAGCCATTTATGCTCTCAATTAAAACTTTTCAAATTAATGACCAATTCGAATGTAGAATCATGACAACTTCTTGTACTCATTAACAAGATAAGACCTCAAACCAAATGTTACTGGCAATACCTACAGTCATTCAGTCACGTTAATTTTGGAAATCCAAGAACTTATAGACCGAAGTGTACATCACACATAAAATCATGAATGAGTTATCTGGTATAAGGGGCTTCTGAGATTGGTACAAGAGCTATGTTGCTTTTCTTATTCTCCCTGATCTTAAAAATATTTATTATTCAGGGAGCGTTGATGGTAGTGAGCCATAATTAGGATCCTGCAATTCTGCATTCAAATTTTTTATCTGTTTGATGTGCATCACAAGGAGTCGATGGTAGCAGAAAGAAGAAACAATTGTCTCCCCAGAAAAGGAAGTAATTCTTATTATATGAGCTATTTTCAAGTTTTCAAGTGTATTTTTGCTAATTTATGTTCTAAAAAAATAATTAAAACAATAAAAAAAAATTCTAATATTTAAAAAAACCTAGATAATAAAATTCTTATTATCTTTAGTTTAAATAAATACTAGCCTCTCCTCAAGCGCTTCCGCGCCTGCAAGAGGCTTTTTTTTTAAAAATTTAAATTTATTTTAGAATTTAAAAAGATAATGGGTAGTTGTGTTCCATAAAAATAGGATCCATTATCTAATTTTTCTTTTAATTTTAATTTTTTTAATATGAAAAAGTGTGAATTTATCATATTATCCTCATTTAATTAATAATTTCAATTCTTAATGTTTGAATTAACTAAGGGCATTTTATAATATTTTGAATGTTTCACCATTCTCTGCTTTTTGCTTTATATATATAGATGGAAAAAAAAATTGCCACAAAAATAAATATGAAATTGAATAATATATAATGGTTTTTATATACTGGTTTAACAAAATAAACTAATGAAGTGCAACGAAAAAAAATTTAGGAATCAGACCAACCCCACCCCCCTCTCTTTCACGTTCTCTTCATGCCACCGCACCCTCTCTCTCTCTCTCACTGCAACCTCACCTTCCAGTAGCTTCCCAGCTCCCCATCTCCCAGTTTTTCATACTTATTTTTATTTTAAACGTTTTTCCTTTTCTTGGAATGAAAATTGATTGGTAATTAGTTGTTCAACGATGGTGGTGGTTCAATTCAATTGGGTAGAGATTCCCTTGGGTTCGATTGAGTGGCGGTGATGTCAATCTGGTTCGCGGTGGTGATTTTGATTGGGTTATGGTAGTGGTTCAAGCTCTGCGTGTGGTTGCAGTTTCGAGCGATCGTGTATGACGGTCTGTGCTGGCGTGTTTGACGGTGGTGGTTGTGGTGGTCATGGGTTTGATTGTCCTTGGTGGTGGTCATGGGTTTGATTGGTGATGTTATGTGCGTGTTTGACGGTAGTGGTGTTTGACGGTCAGTCAACTAGTCACACAATAGTCAACAATGATCATGGAATAAAAAACATCAATTGATGAAAGCTTTGTTTTCCAACTCCTTTGTCTAACTTACAGATGAGATGGGGAAAGACTTCAAAGTCAAACAAAGGAAAATCTCATGGAAGCCTTTTCTAGTTCCAACAGATTAAAGCCAATACACCAATTAACAGTTCTTCATTCTCTCAGTGTCTCTAAAACTAAAAATTTACCAAAATGAGAACTTTGCTCCACTTTTTCCTTTTCATGATGACTATTAAGTTAATCCAACTCTATGTTGAAGCCATCCCAGTTCAGAGCCGGTGCAATGCAGACCAGCAGTCGTTATTGCTCCGTTTGAAGGAAACCTTGATCTTTGATTCTTCTGTTTCCTCCAAGCTTATATACTGGAATTCAAGTACCAACTGCTGTTCTTGGGCAGGAGTTAGTTGCACTGATGGCCTTGTTATCGGTCTTGACATTAGTGAGGAATCTATCTCAGGTGGCATTGACAATTCCAGCATTCTCTTTGATCTTCAGCATCTTCAAAGCCTCAACTTGGCCAACAATTATGCTTCCAATGCCTCTCAAATTCCATCTGCAATTGGAAGGCTTACGAATTTGAGGTATCTAAATTTATCCGCTAATGCTTATTTCGGGCAAATTCCGATTGAGATTTCACACTAGACAAAGTTGGTTACTCTTGATCTTTCTAGAAATGACTTCATTGACACTCAATTAAAACTTGAGAATCCGAATCTAAGCATGCTCATTCAGAACCTCACAGAGCTCACAGAGTTATATCTTGATTATGTGTACATATCATCAGCACATGGGGCTCACTGGAGCCAAGCAATATCATCTTCACTGCCAAAGTTGAAGGTGTTGAGCTTGCGCGGCTGTAATATTCCAGGCCCTATTCATCAGTCTTTTGCTAAGCTCCAGTCTCTATCCGTGCTTCTATTGGATTGGAACGATATCTCTGCTCCAGTTCCTGGATTCTTTGCCAACTTTTCAAGCTTGACTTCCTTAAGTCTCAGTTATTGTAACTTGTACGGGACGTTTCCCGAAGAGATCTTCCAAATAACTACACTGCAGAAAGTTGACCTTCAATGGAATCCCCGACTTCAGGGTTCCTTGCCAGAATTTCTTAACAATGGATCTCTCCAATCCCTGGATCTAAGCTCGTCAAAATTTTCAGGGTTCCTGCCAAAATCTATTGGCAACCTTAAAATGTTGTCTACACTACAACTCTCAGGTTGCAGTTTCACTGGATCAATCCCAAACTCAGTCGCAAACCTAACACAATTGAATTTTTTGGCCATGTCCTTAAATAGTTTTAATAGTCCCATTGATTCTATTCACTGGGAAAACCTTGTTAATCTGGAATTTCTCGCGTTGGACTCCAATCTACTCCATGGGAGTATTCCATTGTCTCCCTTTTCTCTTCCTGTGCTGCGGAAATTAGTACTTCCGCATAATCAATTCTATGGTCAATTACCCGAATTTGCCAACATCTCTTCAAACTTACTGGACACCCTTCATTTGAGTGGCAACCATTTGGAAGGACCAATACCTACTTCTATCTTTAATCTTAGAGGGCTTCAAAAGCTTAAGCTTTCTTCAAACCATTTCAGTGGCTTTCCTTTCAATGGTCCTCAGCAGCCTAAAAATCTTTCGTTTCTTGATCTTTCCAACAATAGCTTGTTGATTGATTGCAATGGAAGCAGTCCAACAACTTCCTCCTTCCTTCAAATTAACAGCTTGGACTTGTCCTCTAACAAGTTGAGGGCCTTCCCAGACTTCTTGAGAAATCAATCCAGATTAGCCGTTTTAGACCTTTCAGAAAACCAGATTCAAGGCAAGATACCCAACTGGATTTGGAAGCTCAATTCTCTTCATCAACTAAATCTTTCTTACAACGACTTGGCAACTCTACAAGGTCCTTTACTTAACTTAACTTCTACTGTCTCCGTGCTCGACCTTCGTTCAAACAATCTTCAGGGACAAATCCCAGTTTTCCTATCATCAGCCACTTATCTGGATTACTCAAGAAATAATTTCAGCTCTAGTATACCAGCTGACATTGGTGATTTCCTTCATTCAACTGCTTTCTTCTCTCTGTCAAGCAATAACTTGCATGGCATCATTCCACCATCAATATGCAATGCAAGTGATCTGGTTCTTGTTGATCTGTCCAATAATTCTCTGAGTGGCATGATTCCAGAATGCTTGACTGGGCTGTCAGTACTTAATTTGAGGAGCAACAACCTTACTGGCCCTATCCCGGATAAATTCGATGAATTTTGCGGTCTGCATACTCTAGACCTCAGCAGAAATCAGATACAAGGTCAGTTTCCAAAGTCTCTAGTCAACTGTACACAGTTGAAGGTTGTAAACCTTGGAAACAATCAGATAACAGATACCTTTCCATGCTTGCTGAAGAACATATCCACCTTGCGTGTCCTTGTTTTGCGATCCAACCAATTTTATGGACGCATTGGATGTCCCGAGGCCAATGGCAGCTGGCCAATGCTTCAAATCATAGACTTAGCTTACAACAATTTGAGTGGTAAAATACCAGGAACATCTATGACAACATGGAAAGAAATGATGGTTAACGAAGACGATTCCCTAGTTAACCTTGGAGCTGATTTTGGAACTGGTGGAAGTGCACCTAATTTTTATTATGGAGATGCAGTAACAATTACCAGCAAAGGTTCAGCAATGGATCTGGTAAAGATTCCAACCTTCTTCACCTTGATTGACTTCTCGTGCAACGAATTCAGCGGATCAATACCTGAGGAAATGGGAGAATTCAAATCACTCTATGTCCTCAACTTGTCCTGCAATGCTTTCACAGGAGAAATCCCATCTTCATTCGGTAATATGCGAGTGCTCGAGTCCTTAGACCTGTCAAAGAACAACCTGAGCGGGCAAATTCCACCACAGCTTGCAAACCTTACCTTCCTTTCATTCTTGAATCTCTCAAACAATCAACTGGTTGGTAGGATCCCAACCAGCACTCAGTTTTCAACATTTCCAAAAGCCTCCTTTGCAGGTAACAAAGGCTTATGGGGGCCTCCTTTGACCGCTGACGACAAAGCAGGATTGCCGGTGCCACCACCAGCATCGAATGAAAGCCGTCGAAGTTCTGGACACGAGATTAATTGGGATCTCATCAGTGTTGAAATTGGATTTGTATTTGGCTTCGGAGTTGCCATTGGATCACTTGCCTTTTACAAGAGATGGAGGAATTGGTATTACAAAGCTACGCTTAACATCATCTTTAAGATGTTCCCTCAACTGCATCAAAGACTAGGCAATCAAGGAAGACATGTTTATATAAACCAAAGGAGAAGACGTTGAAATGATTATGAAGATCAAATGTCTCCAAGTTAGCAAAAGGTAAATCTTGCATTATCAAGTCACAAATTACATAGCTAAATGTCAAACTTTATAGATATGATTGTATGAGATATTGGTTTGCAATTTTTTCACGATTTTGAGAACAATTAAGTTGTACGTTAATTACTACTTTTGGTATTAAAAATCAGTATTTCTCTGACTATGAGGGTTGACAGATTCACGATTAAAATTTTGTATTTACATAGTTTGAATCTTTGCACACTTTTGCCACATAAGAACAAGATTTACATATCTGTTACTTTCTTGGCTAGAGGAACCAGGCAAGCTTATCTTAAATACTGTGCCAAGTTGCCAACCCCCTCATGAACTTTTACTCTGTTTTTTTTTTTCTTCAATTTGTTCTGTAATTTGTCGGGGAGGCTCATCTTTTGAGTTTGTCATGATATATATCTTGTCAATATCTACCTACATCCAGTAATCGAGCAGCACAAAAGATTGCTCAGGTTCCCTTGTCCATAGCTGACAGCTTAGTTTGGATGTAGGAAGCAGGTGACTCCTTGGTTGTCTTCTGCTTTTCAAATTGTGTTTTATGAACTTGCGTTCGTTTTTTTTTCTCTTTTTTTTTTCAATTGGGCAATAGGAGATTAAATTTGAGATCACTTCTACTATTGAAAGCGAAAGTAGCTCTAAACTACAAGTTAGTTAGTAACTACACTTCTAGTAGCATTTGCATCGCCCTGCAACGTGAACTCATTGAAAGCTTAAACATGAAGGAAAAGGATGAGATTGAACAAAATAGTGTGTTTCATTGGGGTTCCTACTTCTTCTTAATAGACTTCAGAAAATAATGCAAACCCAGACAAGGTGATAAGAGGAAGATAGGGAATTCGACCAAGGAGGATATTATGAAGATAATCCAGTTAAAAGATAAAGGAAGATGACCTACAAGTAAGAAAATAATGCAAAGCAGACAAAATAATATGGGAGAGGGACTTGGCTATCCCGAGGTCTATACCCCCTTGTACCTATAGGCCATGTTTGGCAATTGGGATTGGATTGAATTATGAGGTAAAATTGGATTGTATTAGATTGGAAATGGTAACACTGATCCAGTGATGTGTTTGGTACTACACATGATTACAAGGTTGGATTAATTGAAATGTGCTATTACATGGCTTAATATAATCGAATCCAACTTAATCCCAACATTTTGATAGGATTCATAATCCAACTACATTTGGCCTTAATAAGATTAGACATAATTCAATTCATGTGGTTTTTAGGACACCAAACATTTGACTAGGATTATAAATCATATCCAACCACATAATTCAACTCACCACACGAGTGAACCACACCTGATGTTAGGTGTTGTAGGAACAAAGGTGTATTTTATCCGGGTAAGTATTTCTGCTAGGAAGGAGAGAGGATTTAATAAGGCAATACCTAGGTTGCCCAGTGGTCCCTTTTTTCACCATCAATGTTTTTAAATTGTCCTCCATCAAATTTTTTTTTTTTAAAAAATTGTCCTCTTTAAATATTAGGTCTTCATCCTTAAATTTTGGCACAAAAGAAATTGCAAACTTAATTGGTATTAAATTTAAAATATATATGTTATGGATTTTTGAAGTTGGTAGCAAATTGACCCCTGTTGATAAGGGTGTCATCTGATGCCAAAAAAAAAAACTCATCTATAACGGATATGGCACTGTTTTGCTATTCCTGGCCAATAACACAACGACACATTAAAAAGTTATCCTAAGTGTCACTGCATTATTGGTCGGGATAGCAAAAAATTCTATCCTTATTACATGAGAGTTTCTCTTCATTTGATGGTTACAATTCTGGGACCATATATCAATTTTTGATTTCTTAATCTCTTCTTTTGATGAATTATTTGTCAGTATATATATTCCTTTCTATTGAGAGATTCCTCAAATAATTTATTTAGGGACCCTTTAGGGTTCTTTATGAATTTTTTTTCAACAATCCAAACTATCTATTTTTTAAATCTATATTCATAGATCATCCTTGCAAAAAATTAGACAAATCGAAAACCATTTCGACATCTAATTTTGTCCTACAAAATCGATGAACACAGTGTTTTAAGAAAATACTAAAATTTCAATTATTCAATTGAGTGGTCAAATGATATCGAATTCAAGTGATTTTTTGTAGAGATGATCTTTAAATGAATATCTAAAAAATAGACTGTTTAGATTAGTGAAATACAATACGTAGTAAGTCCTAAAAGGATGTCCCTCAAATAAGCTTATTTAAAGAATCCCTCAATTGAAACTCCCTATATATTTATATATGGATGTATATATATGGATGCAATACAAGAACACAAGATATTTCCCATATATGCTTACCTCCACTATTCTAATGATTTTTTTTTTCTTCCCCATATTCTCACATTCTTGAACCTTAACCAACTTTTGCAAAGAATACAATGAGTGTTTATACACCAGAATCCATTCAACATTAAATAATAAATATAACCCACTTGGATAAGAATAGCACACAGAATCGGAATCAAGGAATTATCCACCAAAACCCATCTGGAAACAGAAGAATTAACAATCTTTTAATCTACACATAAAGTATAAACTCCCTTTCACCAAATAAATAAGTTTATATTTCTTTTTTAAGAAAACGAGAGCTGGAGCATTCTTCTTGTCAAATTGCTCATGAATAAGATATGCCAAAACTGCAAGCCTTTGAATAAAATAGTTATATCGATGCAGATCCCATCACAAACGCAGCAAAGCTTATCTAAATTTGCCCAATTGCACTTCATAATTGAGCTTATATAATACTCAACTGGACACTAACCTATTGCCATTATCTTTATCTTGTCATCTTTCTTGGTAAACCAAAGCCGCAAGTTAGCAACATGTTGCCCGGAAAATCCAATCACAACATTTAATGATATTTTAGTCTTTTGCTACTCTTCCTGTTCAAAGATCAACAACAACAAAAATTAATAAAAAAATATACCAAACCTCTTACACAAAGGCTTCGAATAAAATATATACCACAACGGTAGCGCATATATGGTAATATAATTGAGCTATGAAACGAGCATTCAACGTAACGCTAACATAATGACACTATCTTTATCTGGTTCTTGTAACCTTTCTTGGTAGCCAAAGCACTATTTGTTACTTAAAAGGTTCAAACACAACATCCATGTCAAGTGTTTTTAATTTTTAACTATCAATTCAAGACCAACAAAACAAAAGAGACCCAATAATTTACACTCAAACAATCCCTCTATACACAAAAAACAAAGTCAATTATCATATACCACCAACAAATCCAAAAAGGTTTCCAAATTCAAGCCTAGTCATTCTTATAACTGAACTATACAAAACCATATAAAAACAAAGATTTAAAGAAAAACAACAAAAAGATTTTTATTTCATATATTCTTTCCTTATGCTTTACTCCACCACCATTCTGATGGCATATTTTCCCATATTCTTCCCTTCTATCTTGACCAACTTTTGGATGCAGATGCCCAATGAGCATTAGAAAGATTGTTTTTTCGGTTGAAAGCATTAGAAAGCCTGTTTATGCGCCAAAACCCATTCTCTATAGAATAATTAACATAATAATAATAATAATAATCTACTTCAATAATCATGGCTGAAGGAATCAAGGGATCGTCTAACAAAACCAGGCTGGAAAAGAATAATCAACAAGAATTATTTAATCTATATAAAGTATAAATAGCGGCATTTGATTGCAACAGACATTTCATTGAATAAAAAAGTTCAAAAAAGAGGAGGTTCATTCTTCTTATGTCAATTTCCTCATGAATAGATGCCAAAACTCGAAGGCTTTGACTAAAATAGTTATATCGACGAAGATCCCACCGCAAATGCAGCATGCTTATACAAGGTAAACAATATATGCATCGTGACTAAGCTATGAATGATAACACTAACATATTTCCATGGTAACCAAAGCAGCGACATGTTACTCGTTTTTATTCTTTTACTACTTGCAACCCAATCCAAAGACCAACATAAAAAATAGACCAAATAATTTCCACCACACCCGCAGATTAATAATGAATAGATACCAAAAGTCAGTGGGTTTTGAATTAAATACTGTATCGATGCAGCGATCAACTTTCTGGGTAACCAAAGCAGCTGCATATCAGGCCAAAATGTTAGCGTATTGTCAATATCTTTATCTTGGTTCTTGTCACTTTTCTGGGTAACCAAAGCAGTAAAATATTACTCAAAGGGTTCAATCACAGCATCTATGTCAATTAGTTTTTTACTACTATCAATTCAAAACCAACAAAACAAAAGAGACCCCCAATAATTTACACAAAAACAATTCCTCAAATACACAAGAAACAATGTCCATTGTCTTACCACCACACAACCAGAAATATCCACCACAATCCATATAATTAAATTCTTCATTCTTCTTATTTAAACTATAAAACCATATAAAAACAAAAATTAAAAAAATATTATCTATGAATTTATTTGTTCATATTTCTCACATGGCAGAGGCCTGGGAAGCCATGGAAACAACAACCTTACCGTCTTGAATTTGATTCAACGCACCAACACCACCTTGTCTTCCGTCTACTGCCACCGGGGCCACCGGGGCCACCGTTTGATATGAGGAAACGACACCTCCAGCTGTTGTGTAGTACACCTGCCTCCCAACCGCTTCGTATCCAACCTGTGCAAACCCTTCACTATAAGCTCCAACCTTTGCCTGCTGAGCCTGCTGTGCCTGCTGTGCTTGTTGAGCGTGCTGTACTTGCTGAGCTTGTTGAGCGTGCTGTACTTGCTGAGCTTGCTGCATTTGCTGAGCTTGCTGCATTTGCTGCACTTGCTGTACTTGCTGAGCTTGCTGAGCTTGCTGTGCTGCCACTGCAGTATTGTATGCCTGAGCGTCCCGGTACACCTCCGGTACCATCCTCTGCGGTACTCCATAGTACGCCTGACCAACCGGTCCAGTCGCGG